CCCCTTCTTGCCTCAGCCAGTATCGGAATACTCGGAGTCGACATATCGAGTGACGTGCAGTTTCGTGGTCACTTGGAAGAGAAGGCCAAATTGGCCTCTAAAAAGCTTGGTGTGCTCAGCAGAGCGGGACAGTATTTCATGCCGGCACACCGCCTGCAACTTTACAAGGCGCAGGTTCGGCCTCACATGGAATACTGGTCCCATCTCTGGGCAGGGGCTGCACAGTACCAGCTTCTTCCACTTGACCGCATCCAGCGCAGAGCGGCTCGAATCGTCGACGATCGAGCCCTTCCCGATCGGCTTGATTCATTGGCACTGCGAAGAGATGTTGCATCTCTTTGCATTTTCTTTCGCATCTACCATGGGGAGTGCTCTGAGGAATTGTTCGGATTAATCCCAGCCGCCAAATTTCACGAACGCACATCGCGGCAGAACTCCCGATACCATCCACACCATCTGGATGATTGGCGGTCCACCACTATGCGATTTAGAAGATGTTTTCTTCCTCGCACAACTTCCTTGTGTAATAGTTTACCGATACGACGAAGGGACCTTCAAGAAAAGAGCCTACTCCTTTTTAAAAGGCTGGCAACGCATCTGCAATTTCCCTGGTGTTGCAGTTGTTCATGGGCGGCGGTTGTCATATACCATCAGGTGAGCCGCATGCTCGTTTGCCCCCTCTCCTATGAAAAAAAAATCTACACTACTGCAACTGTCATCATCTAAGGGTATTTCCTATAAAAAAAACTTCACATAACGTTTTACTTTCTTCTCTTTCAAAAACCATCACTTTCGTCTTACTTGCGTTCACTTTCATACCCCTTTCTTTTAATGACCAGTTCATTAAAATAACGATCATTTGCTACTCGGCCGCCGACGATGCAAATATGACTTAATCATCGGCGTACAAAAGGCATTTGACGGTTAACTCCCCATTCTCACCCTACATTCTTCAACTTTCAAAGTTTGCAAACAACTGTCCATAAATAGATTAAACAGCCACGAGGAAGCCACACAGCCCTGTCTGACACCTTTTTGAATGCCAAAACAGTCCAACTAGACCCCGTTGATCCTGACACAAGCATTAGAGTCCCTATAAAGAGACCTTAATGCTTGTATCAAACCAGCGCTCAACCCAAATGAGTTCAGTGTTTGCCATAATACATTCCTGTCCACTCTGTCATAAGCCTTTTTCAAGTCCATGAACCCACAAAAAACTTTCTGGTTTTTGGCCAAACACTTCTCCGCAATCATGCGCATGGAAAAATACTTGATCCGTACACCCCATCCCCTTTCGAAATCCAGCTTGCACATCCCAAATTTTTCTATCAATTTCTTCCATAACTTCCAGTTTCCAGAACATTTTAATATTTGCCTGAAAGTTATCAGATATCATTCTATCATTCTTATCCGTTCTTTCTTGCTTTTTCCTTTCAACAACTTACAAAATAAACAAACTTTCCTAATATCCTTTCATAACCAAACCTCTTTACCCCAACCTTTCCATTAAAGTCTCCTAACATAATAATATTTTCATTTCCCTTATATTTCATCAACACCATCCTTACCATTTCCCAAAATTGCTCTCGGATATAAGTGGGCTTAGACATGTCTGGGGCGTACACCCTAGCACAAACAACCTCTTTAAGGCCACTTTCATTCGTATCCATAGCAGCCTTGGGCTCACACATTCATACTCTTTCACACCTTGATCCATTCTTTCTGAAATGATGACACCGACTCCCTGGCATACCCGCTTGTTCTCGTCTACACCAGACCAGTAAGCGGTATACATGCCATGTGCAGTGGCATCCTTTCCCTCCCGTTTCGTCTCATTTACACATAACACATCTATTCCTCTATCATTCATCATTTCGCATATTTCATCTATATCATCATTCATTGCCCCACATTTTTTCAGCGTAGCCAGACGGGCCTCCGCAATCCACTTTTCGCCCCTCCCGGAGACAGAACGTGACGGGTGGTGAATCTCGTCATCGGTTTTTCTCCCGGAGATTCTTCGCACCCATGCCGTATTAAAGAGGCGCCGGGAACTCGGGGTCATTTGTTTTATTTGCTGGCTCATGGTCCTAACTAAGGAGTGGTAGATTTTACGCCACTACGAGTATCATACGGCGAGGAGTTGAGTCTATCCTATCGGCTTTGTCGCTCGTTTAGCACCACCCGGGGGACACGTGTAGGGTGAGAATAGGGTTAGGTGGGGTCGAAGGCTACGCGAGCGACTCATCCCACTAATTAATGAAAGACTTCAATGCAAAACTAGGCAAAAGAGAGAACGGTGAGCTGAAGGAAGGGAAATTTGGAATAGGGCAACGGAACCGAAGGGACTATCAGCTGGCCAACTTCATGGAGACTCTCTATGATGAACTCTTTCTTCCAGAAGCGACCCCATAGGAAGTGAACCTGGTCAAGCGACGACGGTTCGACAAAATATGAGATTGACTTTATTATGACGACCAGACGACAACTGCTCAGTAATGTCTCAGTGATCGCGAGAGTGAAATCTGGTAACGATTACCATATGCTAACCATTAATGCTAACCATAACTGGCACACTGAACATAAGCGTTAAGTTGGAGAGGTCTTGTCTGATGAAGTCAACGCTCCGTCCCTCTCGTGCTCTAATCCAAAGTCCCGAAACCTTTCAGCTCGAGTTACAAAACTGTTTTCAGTGCCTAGAAGACTGCAATGAAGTGGACGGTATGAATGCTAAGCTTGTGGAAACTGTTCATGCGGTCGAAGCTAAGTTCTGCAAGACTCGCCCCAGAAGAATACAAAAACTCTTCAATCACACTCTTAACCTCATGGCTGTTACACGGTAAATGAAGCTGCAGTCTTCAACTGATTTGACAGCATACAGGCAACTGAACAGACAGATCTCCAAATACATCCGGCGGTACTTGCGCTACTTCAATACAGCTTGTATTCAAGAAGCGATTGAGCAGAACCAAGGGCCAAAGTCTTTTCCAGAGATCTGTCTGCCAGAAAAAGCCAACTGTCAAATCTGAACACCGAGTGTGGCAGTATCATTTCTGGGACACCTGAGATTTTGAGTGAGATTGAGAGGTTCTATGGGCAGCTGTACACATCATCGTTGGGGCCACACGCAAGTGTGAGTAACGATCCAAAAGCGAGTCTTATTCGATACTATTTCGATGATATATAGAGATTAGAATGGTTCTCCAGCACCTTAAAACAGCAAGGCCCCAGGTGAGGATGGACTTACAGCGGAGCTTCTGAAAGCGGGTGGAGAACCGGTACTTGAAGTCCTTCAGAAGCTCTTTAATTCCGTCCTCCGTGGTGAGACTACGCCAGGGGCGTGGAGCAGAAGTGCAGAAGTGTTTTTCAAGAAAGGCGAAAACGCTCTCTTGAAGAATTACAGACCGATTTCCCTTCTGAGCCGTGTCTACGTGCTGTTTTCGAATGTCATTAAGAATCGTATCGCACGCAGACTTGACGACTTCCAACTTCCCGTACAATCCGGTTTCCGAAGAGGCTTTAATACCATAGACCACATACACACCCTTCGGCAAATTGTACAGAATACAGGAGAATACATTCTGCCACTTGCCTTGTGTGGACTATGAGAAAGCCTTTGATTCCGTCGAAATTCGGGCGGTGCCACAGTCCCTCCAGCGGTACCAAGATGACTCCGTGGCGCAGTGGCTTAGCATTGAGTTGCTGCGCTGGGGACCGCGGGTTCGAATCCCCCACGGAACAAGTATTTGTATGGCCTACAAATACTTTATCCTTGTGCAATTTGTGTTTGTAAACTGTCGCCACGATACAGGTGAAAATCCTAGTGTGGGGGTAACGTAATTGAAAAAAAGGAGAAGTGCTGAAGTGTTTGTACAGTAGGGTTACGATGGCTATCCGAGTACAGAATTAGAGTACGAAACCTATCCAACTGCAGAGTGGTGTAAGTGTAACATGACGACGTTATATCCCCGAAACTCTTCACCGCTGCATTGGAAGACGTATTCAAGCTACTGGACTGAAAAGAATACGGTATAAACATCAATGGCGAGTACATCACTCACCTTCGATTTACTGACGATATAGGCCTTATGATAGAACCGCTGGAGGACCTAAGCACTATGCTTTATTGCTATGACATCAATAGTGTCTCCCAATGGATAGGTCTTAAGATGAACATGGACAAAACAAAGGTCATGTTTAATGTCCATTTTACACTTATGCCGGTAGTTGTTAGAAGCACTAAGCTCGGAGTTGTTTACCTGGGACAAATAGTCCGACTTCGATAAGTCCAACTTCGGTAAGTCCAACTTCGACCGTGAGGTCAATCGACGGATTCAAATCTGCTGGGCAGCGTTCGGGAAATTACAACACATCTTCCCGTCAGATATATCTCAAAACTTGAAAACGAGATTGTACAACCAGTACGTGTTGCCAGTGATGACCTATGGTACTGAGACGTGGTCCTTTACTGCTGGCCGTAAGAGGACACTCAAGGTCGCTCAGCGATCTATGCATAGGGCTATGCTCGGGGTTTCTCTGCGTGATAAACTTAGGAATGAGGATATCCGCAGTAGAACCAGAGGAACCGACATAGCCCAACAGATTAGTAAGCTGAAGTGGTCATGGGTCGGCTATATAGCTCGAAGAACCGACAAGCGATGGGGAAAAACGGTTCTCGTGTAGCAGCCTCGTGCCGGTAGGCGAAGTGTAGGATAACCCCCCACTAGATAGACTAACGACCTGGACCGTGATTTGTGGCATAACTTGGGGGAGGTTTATCTTCAGCAGTGGATTTGTGAAAGGCTGTAATGTTGATGATGATAACGCATCTGTAGCATTCTTTGTTTAAAGTTGGTTGCAGGTGTCCATGTTATTCAAATAAGTAAAAATAAGGCTTGGAAATAAATATCATAAGCAATACTTCTCAACTGGCACATTATGGGGAAGTCATATGTCCAGCCACAGACTTGAAAAGCTTGTTTGTATAATGTCCCGTTTAGATGGCCCTGGCTATCCAGGAGTCGACAAGCAATTCGCTGATCATAGTCGACGAGTTCGGCAAAGGCACTTCGGAGATAGACGGGCTGGCGCTGCTCTCCGCCTGTCTCAACACTCTGTTATTCCGCGGGGAGCAGTGTCCTCACGTGTTTCTGTCGACGCACTTTCTCAATATCAAGGAGTTTGTTCTTGATACGCCTATTGTGAAGTTTCTTGTAAGTTTAAATATTGTTTTCAACTAAATTTTAGAGATTTTTTACCTGACACAACATTGTATAAAAACATTTTGATATGTATGTACTACAAGAAGAAACACAGATTTGGTGGTTTGCAACACGTGTTAATCGACTGCCTCGTTAGTCTAGTGGTAGTGTGACTGCTGATCATAAGGTTTCGAGTTCGAATCCAGGGTCGGGTCTGTACATAGAGGAATATAACCACTAGAGAGCGTATAGGCCGATTTCTTCTAAGCACAAGACTCACTACTGCGGGCCGGGGGACGATGAAGAATGCGCGGCCGCAATTGGTCAATTCAAGGTATGGCTATCGTTAGGGTTGCTCTACTTCATTAAGGGAAAATAGTGGATATCGATAAAATGGATTTTAACATTATGAAAAATACTAAATGTAATTGTGTAAATGTAATGTATTTGTTAATTAAAATCATAGAAATAATATTTAATCAAAATCAATCAATTACAAGAAAAACATGTATCCTGTTATTATTGATTTTTAAAATGTATTAATTTGGAATATGTTTTTCGAATTAAAGTTTTAGGGTCCTGATTGTTCTTCGTAAAAAATGATAAGCGCGCGTCTACATATTTCTGAATTATGCATCTTGCTAATTCAATTAAATGATTTGTGGATTCAATTTCAAATTGATGAAAATTAATATCCGGGAATAAATTATACCCAATCAGAGATTTTAAAACCGATCTTATAAAATAATCGGTATTATATTTCGAAGACAGCACTTTCGAACCACTCTCGTTGATCGCCGTCTTAATATAAATTTCACAACGACGACAAATTTCTATTACTGTGGTGGATCCGTACAATAACTTGTCTTTAGTGTCCTTTTGAAATTGTAAGGCGTTTTGATTTGGTACACCAATCAGCGCCCCAATGCAAGTTTGGCATTTTATTTGCTTTATCAAAGCATGTACAATGTAGCCGGCCATATATTCTACTACTTTTTCACCGAATTCAGAATTAGGTAACAGGCTTTCAAGGCCTGAAAAATCCAAGCTCTCAGTCTCAAGATCTATGTTTTGGTCTTTGTATCTTGTTGTAATATTGATGCGGTTAACTGCAGAAGTGCATTGCAAAATTGAAATTTGACCAAGAGCGCTGCAATTGCCACTACCACTATTTTTTATTTGCGCATAGATCAGGAGCTTCTTGTATATGCTTTCAAATACCCTAGCACTAGGATTGTTGTTTGATCCACCGTGGCATCTTATACTTCCAAACAGGTGTTCCAAGTGGTCCTGGCTTATTTTATGTAGAGGAAGATATTTTAAGGCGCACTCTGAGTTCAGGACCAAGTCTTGAATGAGAGCAATGGCACTTTCTATACGCACACAAAACCCTATGAATCCGGTATATCGAGGTGACTTAACGAGTCGAACTTCTTGTTTTACAGTTCTTACAATTATGTCTGCGGACATATTTAGTATAGCATCTCTAGCTGTCTTTAATTTAAATATAACATTCGCAGCATTTTCTGCATTGACTGCTCGTTTTAAATCATATCCATGGGTGTGCGAGTCCAGAATATCAAAAAGGTCATTCATCATATCCAGAAACTGTGTTGTGGGTGTAACTTCTTGAAACTCACGTAAATTAAGCTTTTCTTTGCAAAATGTGAGTGCATCTGATACACTCTTACTAAAAATTTGGGTTGCTAAGCTTACTTTCATAATTTTCGTTTTAAAAAATATATGAGCAGCCCTTAGTCGATTACCTAGATGAAAATTTTCCGCTGTTTGTAGATTATGTAAGTTAACGAGATATTCCCACGATATAATATTGCCCCGTTCGTCCTTCAAATTCCTATAAAACTCAAATGCATTTCGCAATAACTTGATCATGTGTGCCGGATCTAAAAAGACCGCTATTTTTGAAGTATTGCATGGGTTTTTAAAGGTGCTGTTTATTTGATCAACTTCAAACGAACAGCCTAAATTTTTAGCCATAGTAATATTAGCAGGGCAGCCGTCAAACGTAATGGCTTTGACATTTACACCAGCCTCTTCTACCAAATGGATCGCCTCTGTTAGAAGAGCGGCTTTTTGTTCTGCATTAATGCCATTTATTAAAAAATATCCTATTGGAATTTTCCAGGATGCATTTCTTGGCACTAGCAAGAAAACAAGGGCTTCTTTAGCTTCATCTTGACAGTCCGTTTGTAAACTGGCGCCAAAACTCACGTGGCCATAGTACCTTCTGGCTTGAGGATGATATTCGACACCGCTTTTGATCGCCATTTCGTCGAAT